ACATGGAGGAATCTACACTGTCGAGGACCATTCACAAGAGCCCAACTTTCTGGTTGACTCTTTTTAAATCAGACTAACTCTCTGGAACAACAACGAATAGCTAAAATGACATGATCGGTTTCTTATTCTCGGAATCAAGAATCAATTAGGCATAATATGGTTTTCTACAGACCTGGTTAGATTCGACTTTTCAAATGAACGTTCTTGACCACAGAACAATGGCTGCTGATGCTGAAAAGTCCATTATAAATATATCTCTCGGTATTCGTAGACCATATCACCAAGATCCCAACGTTAGGTTGCGGAACGTGTTACAAGTTGTTGGCATCCCGTAATTGATTATATCTACCGACCTCCCCGAGCAACCCACCATGGAACCTAACAGCTAATGTATGATATCTACACAGTCTCAAGCACTACCTACAAGTTCAGACTTAAGAGTGAATATTTCAATGAGTTACAAGTTAACTGGCTACTGCCTGGACCTTCGGTCTAAACGCGACTAGACGAAATGGTGTGCTCTATCCACTCGAATGGCTGCAGCACATATGTCAGAGGGCCCACCGGAAATGCCAATACCCTAGATTTGGTATTCACCATGAGGATCCATTCTACTTGTGCACTCTTTGACAGTCCCCTACCGCGCTGCGACCAAAACACGGCGTTTTGTAACGTGAACACTCAACGAACTAAGCAATTCCAGTACAAAGCTGCAACCTACTCATAACCTTCGCCGAATTGACTGGAATGTATTTAAGGAACTTATCTGCACTATGAATTGGGAGCCAGCATCCTGAACCAGCAACCCGACTATAGCTGTCGGTGAATTTGTCAACAACATTCCCGCCTGTACATATGCATTGGCACCTGTGGTAAGGAGACGCACATATAGGCAATGCGACAAACCTACACAACTGAACAAGGCCGAAGGCAAACTGAAGAAACTTGGAGCATCTTGTCACAGGACCAACATTCTCGTTACGCAATCATATATACAGTAAGCCAAATTAAGGTATGGGACCTGTTTCCCGGCTTATGAATGAAAACACTGCGTAAGAGATGCATGTGATTCGCTAACTGCATTAGAACAATGCGCGCAATCACGGTTGATGCCAATGCAACGAACTTGATAGGGTAACAAAGGATTTCGCATCGTGATCGAACGAATTTAACTTAACGATTCACGAACATAGGTGGGAAATCTTATGAAGTCTCTTCGTTAGCTAATTATGCTGAACGATCCACCAGGGTTTTGGCACGCGGAGCAATCGAGCATGTGGCGGGCAACAGAGCTGGTAGGTAGCTGTGCACCCTTTGCAACCGTGTCTGGTGTAAGGTGCTCAGCGCTTCTTGCTGACAGCTTATTCCCATTACGGCCACTGTACTTCCGGTAGCAAGCATTCCATCAACATAAATGTCTTAAACGCTGTAATCAGCTAGTTCCCTTATGGTAGGCTGGATTACAATGGTCAGGAAATTGGCCAACTTCTGATACGGTGCGTCTACCATTGAAACAATTGGTGGTAAGGGAATATCTTCCTTGTGGATTTTCGGTAGTCATTGAAACTAAGAAAACCGAGATGCTCGAGTGGTCTCTTTTGTTAAAGATTTGCGGGATTCCATCCCACCGTCGTTAGAGTCTTTAGTTCTCGAACGCTTGATCTCACAACCTGTTTGGTTTTATCGCTGTCTGTCACATCAAGAACGAATCGACTAGTTTGCGAGAAATTTTTGCATTTTCCAGATGTAGTCCTGTTTCTGCAGTACGACCACACCTGATCCCATAGCTTGTCTCAGTATTACAAACTTTTCGTTGATTAGATATTACGTTAAGGACTCGCAATGATACTTCGTCATGGTACGTCACTTCTTGTTGTCACTAGCACATGACTGTTTGGTAAATTCTACCCTCGTAGTTGTAAAGCAACCGCTTGTCTCCTCATTGGTCTGTGTCAACTGGCAAGATGTTCGTTCAAATGTGCGAAATGAGAATCGACTGCAATTCTATCACATGGATTTGGTGGAATAGAGAAACTGAACCGTAGGGACAAGCTCAAATTCGGGGGAGATCTACAGGAGAACAAATCACCCAAGCCATTTATAACGCGACACGCACACGCAAAACCCTAGGAGAAACCACCAACTGACGTTCCTAAGGAAAAGAGAGCACTAGCCAGCACACGCATTCAGTTGATAAATCATTGCATGATACGTATATTTACAGATTATCAGTGTAATGCTCAGATTTGTCAGCGAACTTTATGTCCGAAGTGCCCGCCGGCGTTTTGCGTACACTGCACCATTTGCGTGATGGTGTTTGCTAGCACTTTCTCCAAAGTACCAACCTGTAGTACTAGTTAATACTAGTCCGAGATGATGCGCGGAATTAAGCGCGGATATCAGAAGGCAATTGGAGTCGGACACAGCGGACTGTATTCGATGGGCTACAACAAGAAACGGACGGATGAAGCGAGGCAAGAGCGTACACGTGAGCGCAGGGACTTACAAGGCAGTTGTGTGTCGAGCCGGTTGTAAGATTAAAACAAGAAGGAGTAATGTACAACTGGTCAACAAGTAAATTGTACACGAAAGATAAGAGTTATCTTTTTGGGCGCTACAGTGCTCCCCCCTAGAAGGCTGAACATAGAAAGCATTCGAAATCGAAAAGGAATGTTGAAACCAGGTTCGTAAGGCGAAATCGTGCCGAGTAAAAATGGGCGTGCGTTCGTGTAAATAGGGGTTCGTCGGAAGTCGGAGTCCGCTGTGCCGTTTATGATTTGTTATTTATTGTATGCAGGACAGGGTGCATTTCGGCGAGCCGTTGGAGCGGGCTTGTCGGACTACAAAATACTGGCTAGCCCAGAAAAAGGCCGACAGGACAGCAACCTCCGCTGCTGCCAAACGGTGCGCTTAGGAGTGGTCTCTCCCCCCGCCGCACCCCGCCTCGCGCCAAATCGACCCTCGTCCCACGTAGAAACGACCATGTTCCCACGGAGAATCGACCCTCGTCCCGCAAAGAAGCGACATTCGTCCCGCGAAGAAGCGATCCCCGTCCCGCAAAGAAGCGATCCTCGTCCCGCAAAAGAAACGACCAGTGTTCGCGTCAGGGTCCTCGTGTGGGCCAGTCGATCGAAGGGGAGGGTTGGGGCATGTAAAGACGAGAGAATAGAAAAACACGCGCAGAAAACGCCAAAAAGAACAAACAAATGATCTGCGTGTTTTTTGCGGTTCATTGAGGAGGCCAGAGGTACCGTTTTTATTTGCAATGCACTTTTAAAGGCTTGAAATTGAAGGCGGGTTACCAAGAACAGGAGGGTTGAATAAACGTGGAACGAAGAACGTGGTTTGCGGTGCGGTAGAGTGAGGTTTAGCATGCCCGGCCGAGAACACCCCGGCCAAAGAAAGAGAGTTCGGAGAGTGAGAGATGTGAGCAGAGAGTTGTAAATCCATCATTTCATGGGTTGTGTGGGCATCCAGATTCGCGGTTGTTCAGGCTGTACTCGCCAAGTTGTAGTTGGAATACAACGAGAACAGGGCTTTAACAAACACCATTAGTTAAACAAAAGTTTAGTGGCGTTATGCAGAGGACACATTCGTACTTGTTAAACGGGATTAGAAGGACGAGTTGCTTGGTCAATTAAACTCCATTGATGGGAGGATACAGTTCACTATTGAGCTGGAATCTTGTAGCGGTACAATACCATTTCTTGACTGCCTGGTTCACAGGAATGGGGGAAAGTTAAAGACGACAATATATCGCAAATCAGTAGATACTGAAGGCATATTCCACTAAGCCTCTGACCATTCGAAAAAGGTTAACGCTGGGATAGCCTCAGCGTTGTTTTACAGAACACAAACCCTGTGCATGATGGATGAGGACAAAAAGGCTGTGAGGAAAATGGCAATGAGCGAACTATGAGAGTGGTTACCCACTGCGGCTAGTCAAATGAGAAATGCATAAAGTGCTAAACCGATAGTCAAGACCCGCAACAGAGTGGATAGGGACGGTAGGAATTCCATACGAGTAAGGCACATCAGAGGGTACTAAGCAAGGAAAATATAAGGGAGATCGAACGCTAAGTTCGGTGCTGGTACATCTGAGGGACCCCCTCCCCAAGGATAGGACGACTAAGTGTCCATAAAATTAAATGTAAGGACTGTGTATATGTGTACATCAGCCAAACATCGAGAGAATTGCGTACACGAAGTCTAGAGCACATGAGGTGCATTTCAAGACTACCGAGAAATGTGTTTGAATACCAGGCAATAGTAAGAGACTCGGCCGTGACTTTGCAGGCATTAGACAAGGGTCACCAGATGGAGTTGGATAAGGTAGTCATTAGGAAGGGTATAGGATCAACGACTCAGCGGTTGATTGCCGAAGCGGTGGAAATTGCCAAATCTGACGACTGTATGAGTAGAATGGAGGGCGTAGAACTCTCTAGTGCGTGGCGAGCGATCTTAAGCCGACCAGCCTGATGAGCATCGGTGCGTGGATCAGATTGGAAAATGCAAATCAACCCTATGGGCTTATCTGTCAATGCCATAACACACAAAGGAACACCTTGACTATTCCAACTGTGCTCGAACCACCTGAGGTGACATCAGGAACTCTGACTGTAATGACATCTTGCCTCAAGTCTCGGGTAAAGCGGTTGTCGGCCCTGTTCGCTATAAAATTCCACTCCAAGTACACACTGATTCATCTAGTCTAAGGAAGCCCTTGTGTCAAGAGCGAAACGTTGCCAAACTACTATACCAACCGATTGTTTCCAAAGCTCTCTAAACTCATGACTACTTGATCGGCTTCAATTATCTTCCAAGGATGGAGAGATGCTTAAGTAAAGATTTGGTGGCGCAACAGAATAAAATGTAAATTTTGTTCAAGATAGGATGAATCGAATGCGAATCTACGATTAAATTCCTCGGTTAAAGCCGAAGGAAATACGATAGAAGGCTTGCGCATCAATAACGCACCAATACTTGAACAGAAGGTAGTGTGTCTTGTGTATAAAATATAGTATATCTGGACACATGAGCAAAACAGAGTGGTGCGGAAAAATTAGACACCAGTGGAGCCGTATCCATTGGAACCACGGACGGTGTCAGTCAGCAAGTCACACATCACAAGCTCGGGTACGAAGATCCGTTCGCAAATAAGTTGTGCTACACGATCACCCTCCTTCACCTGAGATAGAAGAGAAGAAAAACAAACTCAAGAGCATGAAAATCATGCCATTTCAGTACGTTGAATGCGTGATTGAGGAATGGGAGCAACATGCGGCAGTGAAATCACAGTAGTACGATGAAAACCTTGGCAATACTTCAGTGTCTACACGACTCGATTCCATGGCGGGTCCAAGGAGGGCGAAACGGCCGCACGGCACATTTCCGGAGTGACATTTGGTCAACACAGCCTGTAATCTAATTTCCATGAACTAAATGAATTCAAACAAATCCCTCCACTCATGTGTTGTCAAACTGTTGTGTAGACTAAGGGCTACCGGTATGGAAATCCTGACTGCTGGCGGCCAACCAATGTCCTCTGCACGGCCAGTAACGTGCATGACAACGGAAGATGGGTCTGGCGATATGGCAACTAGAATTCAGTCCATGATTGTCAACTATCGTTCACCATGGCTGTGTTGATACTAGCGCAAGACACTTGCGAGCATGGGTTCAGTTACCCGAAGAGCACCGAGGGAGTGCGCACCACTGAGGAGTCCAAAGGGGGCGAAACGGGAGCTGGAGTTGTTCTGAATTGTTGTTCTGGATTTACCTATCTGGCTTGTGATCTAATCTAAGCTAACAGCATGTAGCCGGAGGTACAACACTTGAGCAGTTATGCCGCGCAGCAAAGTTGAGTTCAGAGAGGGGTAATCCTTCGAGAGAAAGCATTAATGTAAACTTATATATACAGTTAAGGGGATAGTAGTGGATGCGACTAGTCGGTGACTGCCATGAACCACGCCCTTCGGGCCAACCACTGAGTGGATCTCGCGTGGAACCTACATCACAAAAACAAATACAGGCAATGTAATATATAATGTAATGTAATATAATATATAATGTGTAATATATAATATGACTTTAGTCCCTCTATCACATCAGATGCTTAAGGCATGCAACATCAGTAAGCAAAGCAAAGTTCTTATTGATGCACGATGAGTAAACAGACCAAACCTTGTAAGTATCCTCTATATATCCAGTAGACCGACCAGGTCACCGTCACTCAGAACTCCTTTGCGCATCTCGCCGCTTCGGACATGTTGGTGCAACGCAACAGGAACTACGCCGTAGCACAGACGTCTTAAGGTTTAAGGCAGAAGACAGTAAGTTGGTGTGGTAGATAAAAATAACATTCACTGTGCTCCTCTCGGGTGTCTAATATTCACGTGGTTAAGTTTAGCTGAAGCAATAAATGAGATGATTTTAATAGAGAAAGCTAGTGGCTGCCAATAAAACTGCAGATGATTTGGCCCATTGTCAAATGCGCGTCATCAATGGGCAAAGGGTGGTAAGTGGCCGGTAACCAAGCAAAGCTTTAACAGAATGCGAAAAGTACACCTAGTGTGTAACGAAGACTGACTGCACCGCCCTGCAACTGTTGAGGAGTAAGACGATGCATGTGTGGTCGAAACCAAGCAATTTATCTACGAGCAAGAGCCTAAAGAACAGAGGCAGTTGTTGGACATTGGCTGGGTAATTCGCCGAAGAAGCTGGTGTAACCTAATCCAAAGTACGACCCACAAAACATCTCAAAATTAAAAAAGGATCAAACGGTGCGACGCTGCCCTAGAAACTGCCGCATAGTTGAAAGATAGTAAATATGCCACAGCACATCTCCAACGGGATTATCATGCCAAGCAAGACAGCAGGCAATAACGGAGATCGATAAATGCAACATTTTCGACATCGGTCCGGTATCTCAACAGTAGAAAAAATGGCTCGACAATGCCCAGAGAAGCTTTTCATCCATATATATATATATATATATATATATGCCCAAACAGGTGATTCAATCATTTGCGGAGGAGCACATGGTTGTTCGTAAATAGCCAGTGTACGAGAGAAACCGGACCAGTGGCATAGAAACGACTGGGGAAAGTGAGTAGTTTGAATATCGGATCAAGGTAGGCCACATGAACACAAAACAACTCAGAGATAAGAGGCCAGCTGAATTACATCTGGAAGTGCTGTGTCCAACGCGTCAAACAGCATTTCACCTTTTGAGTTCCGCGGTCATCGCTGTTCTGACTGACCTATTGACGCATGAATTCTTTGGAGCAACAGAGATGGTTAACTGGAACAGTCAGTGTTTGTTCGGAGACGCTCTCATCGTCATTAGTTCCTGAACCCTTCGAGTGCATCAGACAACCTTGCCCATTTATGAAGGTCGTTTGAGTTCGCTCTTGACCGGTGGACCGGTCACGGTGTTCGCAACATTGCTATTAGGGAGTCTTCTTGATTCCATATGATATGCTGACAGTTCAGGCAGTCTGCAGTGCGTTGATAAGTGACAGTACCGCAAGCAGAAGCGTCAGCGTCATGAATGATAGCGGAAATCCTATTTTGACGAAGCCCGATGTCTTCAGAGCAAGTAGCCAAGGGTTTGGTATGTAAGGAAATCTGGTGAGCTTATCTAACGTTCATCCAAGACAGCCCCTCCATTCTAATCGAAGAAATCGTTTGCTATGCTCCACGATAAAGGGGAATCGGCAGAGGGCTAAAGCAATTATCGAAATCCATCTCATTTCAAAATGAGAGACAGGTAAGGATGGCGTCTAACGGTTTCAAGCATGGCCCATTCCGGATACATGGCTTGCCATCTACCGGGAAACGAAGTGGCACACAACTGTCTGAAGGTAGTGCTACCAAAGAGCAGGTGATGAATGGTTCTATGTTTTTCCCGAGTTCAGAAGTGACCACGAGGACCGCACTTAACAAATGCACTGCAAAGCTCAGATGATCTGCTTGGGTATTCGCAGTATCAAGACTGCAAGCAGTTGGAAAACAAGCGACGAGAATGAATAAACAGCATTCTGTGCCGTTTCGTGTGCTAATCTTAGACGACACTGACAAACGGACCGCACATGGATGGCTGTTTGCGGAGACCCAATCAACCAAAAGGGACCAAGCGCTAAAGGTGGAAAATATGCAGACCCCAAAGTGACTTGATGTTGGCACATTAGCATCTTGCATGTGAGCAATGAACACTGAAGGGATGAGGTCGGCTCCGTTAGGTAGCTACGTGAGGGTCATTTATTCTAGTTTCGGACGACACTGTACGTGAACACAAAGAGCTCCCAGTACACACAAAGGTGGAAGCTGGTAGATGGTCTGTATTGAATTGTGAATATTGAACGACACCAAAAATAGAGTAGCAAAGCCTGCTAGGGGATTAATATCATCGAGGCTGCTGGGTATGGTGGTGGTTGGGCGGACTTTGATGGTCTTGCAGTTGTAGTAAAAACGTAGTGAACTTTCAAAAGACGGTTAACAGTGCGGATCCGCAGAATAGTAAAAGAAATAAACGAAAAAGTAGAAGGAACATCTAAAACAGCATAATTTGTTCGCACGCCCGTGATACGGAGGGAAGAGAAGGAGGGGAGGCCAAGCAAAGACTTGGTCAAGATGAATGAACACCATAATCAATCGGCTCTTTCTACACCAAAAAAGAAAAAAATTTATTGCATAACCAGAGTCTATGGATGCTGAAGTACAGCCAAAGTGATGCGTCTGCAAGGTTGTGCAGGAGCCACGTTGAGGGGTATTAGAAAGGTTCAGGGAATTAACAATTTCCAGCAACATTTTCTTGACTAAACAAAATGGTGCTAGTGGAAGTGTGATGAATCGGTCGGTAAATGGCAACTATATAGTTCGGGAGCTTTTTTATGGCACAGAATGATGAGTGAGGTTTTCAGGAACATAACTAGTTTGTAGTGATAAACACATATTTAATGAAAGTAATGGTAAGTCTGAGCCTCCCATTTAACTATCAGTTGAAGAAATGACGTCGGAGTCTAACCTGAGAGAAGGTTTGGCCTTCATTAGTTGCTGAATAGGGCTGAGAAGTTTGGACACTGCTCCGTCCAAAACAGTAACCTGATTGATGTTCTACACGCGATATTTCACATCGAAAAATACAGCAGCCGCATTCGATACGCGAATGCGCAGTTCGTTCCACAGTTCCAGGTCGGTTAATAGTACGCTCCAAAAAAGGCGAAATTTCGATGCTGTCTCCAACATGTCACCTGGAGTAGGGACAGGACTACGGATTCGAGTTCGGAGAAGGCTAAAAAGTACAAACAGTCTTTCTTGTGTTGATGGTGAGCCCGAACTGGACCGCTGTCGAAGCGAGAACCGAAGTCATGTGTTCCAACTCATCCAGGCGGTGTGCAAAAAACGCACGGTCGTCGGCCCCGTCGCAACGGGAGTGCAAATTAACGTGGTGCGACCGTTTGCGTACCTCTGTGACCGACTGAGCTATACTGGGTGGTGCCTCTTGGACCGTTGAGAGCTAGTCCTACCAGATTGATCAATGAGTAGATGTTAGACAAACTCAGTCACCTGGTCCTCCAGGTTGGGGGTTTGAAATGGGATGGCGTCCATTTCTGTAAAACTGAATCATTGCCACCTCCCCGCTGCCTTGCGGACAGGCTTTTGAGCCAAAGGCTTTGGTTGAAGATCCTAATCGTCCTCCTGTCCCGGTCTGGGCGCCCTGGCAGTATCTCAGCCCACATACAACCATGACTACTTCTCCAAATATCAATTACATCTTGCATCGGCCGTCACGCAGAATAGCAATGGCTGTCTTTTCGGCTGTAAACAGCAGGGCGGATTAGTGAAAACATGAGACCACTTCCCTTCTTCCGTTCCCAGTTGTTTGGCTTACTCAAATCCCGACCCCATTACTAACCTTCCGTCTATAATTCGCAGCAGCCACAAGACCGCTGAAGTCTTTCCATTTGCAGCTACCTTCCCGCAACGATCACTGAACGCCTTTAAGCAACAGTCCATTATAAGGTCACGCTGTCCCGTTTCCCTTGCGGCGTTCAACAGGCTGTATTCACACGCACGCTGGACACACTAGGTGTTGATGTGAGTTGCGTATCCGGAAACAGGATCGATGACCCTCACGGGGTTGTTGAATAAACTGCACCCGGCTTGTCCTCTCGGTTTGGGTGC